AAAAGGGTTGATGTAGGGAGCATTCTGTATCAAGGAACTGGGTTCAGAGAGCAAAGGGTACATATATCAGGGATTATGGGGCAGAGGCTTCGAAAGGGAGGGTTTGGAGATAAGCCACTATGGCTGCTGTGCCCAGCTGCATGGGGCCTCAAATCCACACTAAGGAGTTTGCCTTGATCTTGAAGGCAACAGGCAGCCGGAGAATGACATGATCAGAGCTGGCAGTGACAAGAAGAAATGGGAGTGGGGAGAGGAACTGGCGGCAGTGTCTTTGATCAGGTGCAGGCATTCACTAACAGGTAGACTCAACAGCACCTGGGGCTGTGCAAATCCAGCATCTTTGTGGCCCTCTGGCCTCCGCCTCCCTCTGTTGTTTCAGGTGAACTGTTTCCTCTTGGCCTTCCAGCCTTCCCTGCATCCTCTTGACTGCTCTCAAACAGCCTTTCATTCCAGAATCACAGGGGAGTTCAGATGCTGGTCCTCCCGAGATCCGACTTCCTCCATTTCACCCTCATTCAACAGCCACATCCCACATGCATTTACTGAGATTCGGCCTCACACAAAGCCCAGAGGACGACACAGATGAAAGAGACCTGTGCCTGCCAGTGATGTACACAGGATGGGGGAAGTGAGGAAACACAGCCCAGACACCTGGAACTGTCCCAGAAACAGCCCGGGGTGTGCACACAGAGCTGCACATGTCAGGGAGGAGATGCTGAGGAGGAAAGGATTCCTCTGAGAGGGACGGCAGTGGGTCAGGTTGACAAAGGCTCAGAAACCATTGTGGTGGTGCATGCCTGCAATCAGCCCTGGGGAGGCTGTAAGGCAGGAGGATCAAGGACTTGAGGCCAGTCTGTGCTACATAGTGAAATACTGTCTCAAAAAAAAAAAAAGGCTGGAAGCATGACTCAAGCGATAGAGTGCCTGCTTTGCAAAGCACAAATCCCTGAGTTCAAACCCCAGTTGCCCCCCACCCAAAAAAAAATAAAAAGGAAAAGGAAAAAAAGAAAGCTCCAGGGAGTTGGGGATTTAAGGTGAGAAGATCTTAGTTTGGGGACTTTTTCACGGTACTGGGGATCTCATGGATGCCAATCACTCTTCCACTTGAACCCCACCCTGAGCCATATCCCCATTCCTTTCATAGCTGTATGACGATGGGCAAGTTGCTACACCTCTCTGAGTCTCTGTGTCTTCATTTAGAACAGAGCACCATATTTGGGGGAAAATGTAGTGAGATGCAGTGCAGCCACTCCGGGAGAACGTGGTAAGCTGCTTGCTGGGATTCGTGCCCTTCTGGAGTTGTTCTGCAGCCCCCCGCCCCGCCCCATGTGGGCTACACCTAGTGACTTGCTTCTAACCAGAAGAATAGGGCAAAAAGAAATCAAGTTCCATTACAAAAAAACTGGCTTCCCTCTTGCTGTCTGTCTTACCATCTTGCCTGCTTGCTCTGATGAGGTGGGCTACCAGCTGTGAGCTGTCCTGTGGGGAGGCTCACAAGGCCAGGGACCAAGGGAGGCCTTGGTGAGTCCTGCCACCTACCTATGAGAGCCACTGGAAGCATATCCTCTCCCTGTCCCTGTCTCTGCTCCTGCAACAACTGTCACCTTGGCCAATATCTGGATTGCAGCTTGTAAGAGACCTTGAACCAGAGGTCTGTCTCACTTCCTGATCCCCCAGAAACTGAGATAATAAATGTGGGTGTCAGGGAGACACCAAGACCATGTGGCAACAGACATAACAGACATAATCTAGGAGTTAGAGCAGATGCTAAGGAGAGGGTTCTGGAGGCTCTTGCTCTCTCCTTGATAGAAACTTGGGAGCTTGGGGACATTGAGGAGAGCAAGAGGGGTGGTGGGGACTTGAGCCAGCAGCCAGTTACCAACGAGAATGAAAGGATGCCAGTATTTTTCTTTGCTTTGTGATGCTGGGGATCTAATCTAACTATGACTTTACAATGCTAGGCAGGCTCTCTACCACCAAGCTACACTCCTCTTCAATTGTGTTAACAACTGACACAACCAGAGTGGGATGTATAGCTGACTAACCCTAAAACCTAGGATTAGAATTGCAACTTAAAGATAAAGTGTCCCTCCACAGCATTCTACAGCATGGAAGGGAAGCCACAAATTTGGAACTAGGGGCATTGACTCAAGTGGTAAAGCCCCTGCCTAGCAAGTGTGAGGTCCTGAGTTCAAGCCCCAGTACTGCAAAAACAAAAAAATAAATAAATAAGGGAACTTTTTTGCTGTTGCCGCTTGTGATTAAGTTCAAAGATGGCTCCAAAAGAAGAAAGAAAAAAAAAAAGACAATCCTGCAGTGAAAAATACAGAGAAGCTAGGTATAGCAACACATGTCTGTAATCCCAGCACTTGGGAGGCTGAGGCAGGAGGATCTAGAGTTCCAGCCAGCCTTGGCTACATAGTGAGACACTGTCTCAAAAACAAAAATAAACAAACAAATAAAATAAATAAATAAAGAAGACCATACAATGTGATAAGAAATAACAGGGACCGGGGTAGTGGTGATGGGTGCTTTTGAGCACCCCTGGATTTTGGTATCTGTGGAGTCCTAGGACCAATCCCCATGGAAACTGAGAGCAAGTGAACTTCCATGAAGGTTTTATTACTCTGGAAGTATCCTGGTAACCCTGCTTAGCTCCAGGGGTGAGAACTGGGAACAGAAGTCAATGACACAGGGGAAAGCTCATCTTTTCTGTTCATCCTTTTGCATCTCTTGTGTTTTAGGCCATCTTCAGTTATTCATGAAAAAATATAATTTTGGCTGGGTGCCAGTAGCTCACGCCTGTAATCCTAGCTACTCAGGAGGCAGAGAACAAGAGGATCGCAGTTTGAAGCCAGCCTGGGCAAATAGTTCCGCGAGACCCTATCTTGAAAAACCCATCACAAAAAAGGGTTGGAGTGGCTCAAGGTGGCTCAAGGTGTAAGCCCTGAGTTCAAACCCCAGTACTGTTAATAATAATAATTATATATATATATATATATATTTTTTTTTTTTTTCCCTGTAGTGTCAGTTACCTGAGAGGCTGAGGGAGGAGAATCCATTGTGCCTAGGAGCTCAGGGCCAGCCTGGGCAACATAGTGAGATCCTATTTCTTAAAAAAGAAAAGAAAAGAAAAGAAAGATTGGGCTAACAAGCACAAGACTAAGAGTTCAAACCCCAAAAGCAAAGAAGGAAGGAAGGAAGAAAAGAAGGAAGGAGGAGGAAGGGGGAGGAAAGAAAGAAAGGAGGGAGGGAGAGAAAGAAAAAGAAAGGAAGAGAGAGGAAAGGAAGGAGGGAAGGAAGGAAAGAAAGCATATGTCTTTATAAATGAGGACAAAAGCACTAGTAAATAATAAAATAGTAACTCATGGCTGGGGATGTCGCTCATTAGTAGAGCGCTTGCCTCTGCACAAGGCCCTGGGTTCCGGCTCCAGTAACGTGTGTGTACAGTGTGTGTTACGTGTATAGTGAGTGTGCATATGAATATATAGTGTGTGCATAATGTGTATAGTGTGTATAGTAATTTATGGAAATGACAACAGTCTCCAAAGGAGATATATAAATGAGGGAAATTTGGGAAACACTGACACTACAGCCTGTGACTTTCTGCCACAAGCCACAAAAGTCATATGAAAGTTGTAGTGGCCCCTGACCTGTGACACAACAACTCCTACTCCTGCACAGCTCGCTACAGTCCCAGTGCTGTGGGTCTGAGCTGCAAAGGTAACCTGGGGAGACATTCTAACCCAGAACCTATCAAGTGATGGGCCACAGGCTTGAACCACAGGCTTACACCACAGCAACTATGGGGGTAGGCATCATTCCCATCCCTTCTGCACAGACGGAGAAACCGGAGGGGTGAAAGGACGTGCTAAGGGTCAGGTTGGTGCAGAGTCTGGACTCCAGCTCACCCTCCAGTCTCTGGACAAGCTACTGACACATTGCTGCCAACCTTGCACATAGAAGGTGCTGGTTAAAGCCTTGTAACTGAGCCCTGATCTTTCTCAGCAGGTTTCTGAGGACAAAGGCTCTGTCAGAGAATGAATGTCCCCAAGAGTAGGACTATCTTTTCTTCATTATACTTCACCTGCCCTGATACCCAGTGGCCTCAGAACACATATTGATTAGATTCCACCAGCACAGCCAGCCACCATGCCCTGCCAGCCCCAGATCTCACAGAATGGTGACCCCTCTATAAGGAGCCTGGGGAGCTCCCAAGCTTGTCCTTATCCTGCCTGGCATGGCTAGGGTGGGGTTCAGAATGTCCCCAGCTCAGCCGGGCACAGGTAGGAGGAAGATGAGCAGACAAGGGCTCCTCCCTAAGCCTGCATGGGTTCCTGCAGGTCACCTGGCAGAACTTCTGTTCACACTCTGCAGAGACCAGAGTAAAGTCTGAACCAGCATCACTAGCAATAGGTGGCATACCAACAGTTTGCCCCATAGTATGAGTCAAGTCCCTGGTAGTCTGGGCTAGGATCTGAAGCAGGAGGGAAAGAACTGGGGTCCCTTAAAACGTCAGCACAGTAGGAAGACCAGAGAGGTAGAAATGCCCCTCAGCTACTCCCCCATCTTAGAGTGGAGGCAACTGAGACTAGAGGTGTGTGTGGAGGGGGTGTTGCCAGAGACAGAATTTACCAATCGTTGAGGCTGAATTTCCTATCTCGTAACACCCCCAATGGTCCCTTAATCCCTTGGATCAGGAACCTCTGTGGTTGCATTCTGGGAAGCTCAGGCCCCTCACCTGGCATCTCTGGAACTTTTCTAAATGGAGCGGGTACTGAGTATGAGGGCTCTGGCTCCCCTTCTCTTAACAGCCAGTCCAGTGCCCTCCACTGGGCACGCTGGTGGGGAAAATGTCCTCTGCCATCACAAGGAAACATAGCACTAATGTCAAACTCCTCCCTCAGTCCCACTCTCCCCGCTGCTCTCCCCGCCAGCCTGGCTCCTACTGAGTTGGGTCCTAACCAGCTGAGATCTCGGCTGGACCCCTGGGGACTCACCTGGCACATCTGGAGATGGATTGAGAACCATGAAGGCATCTGACAGGCCTGCTTTGACGGGGTGCTGGGAAGAACTGATTTCCAGGACAGCCATAGGGATCTGCAGCGGGAAAAGGGGCTCTGTTCACCCCATGAGACCCTGTGGGGCCAGCCCGCTCCCCCAGAGCTCCAGCTCCACCTGCCTGCTCAGCTCCTGAGGATTCAAACATACCTTGAACCTGAACTCTCGGCTAATTTCAAATCTTCCCCTCACCATGTCCTGCATGTTTTTCCATCTCAGTGAACTGAGGCCATGCAGGCCAAAACCCCCGAGTCACCCTCGGCCCCTCCTGTCCTTTCCTTTCCTCCCTCCCTCATGTAATATACCCCCAAATCCTGTTAATTAACCCGGTGACTCTCAAATCTACCTAGTTCTCTCATCTCCCTTCTCCAAGCTGCCTCATCTCTCCTCTAAACCATCTTCCGGCCTCCCCTATGAGCCTGCAACAATCTGAGGCAGAGCAGCCTTTTTCAAAGACACATTTGGTTGTTCCCTGCCCCACCCTGCCCCCTCCTCTCCACTCCAGCCATACTGCCTTCTTCCAGTGATTGTACCAACTATGTTCTGCCCTGCCACACACAGGACCTTTGCACATGCCTTCCCTCTCCTGGACACACTTCTCTCTCCTCTTTGCATTTCGACTTCTTCCCTCAGGGAAACCTCCTCTGGCCTCTGACGAGATAAAGAGCCCCACAACAGGCTCTGCTAGCACCAGGCACCTCTACTTGTCATATTAGCAATTCTACATTTGTCCCTGCAATCATCTCCTGTCTCTTAATCAGACTTATGGATCCACAAGGACAGTGCCCACAGGCAGGTCCCACAGCTGTCTCAGCATCAAGTCCTGTGCCTGGCACATTGCAAATTTCCCACAAATATTTGCTGAATGAAGGAAGGGCTCAAAGACCCGGCCATCTCCGCAGCTGGGCCCACTCACCTCTTTGTAGCCAAAGACAATACGGCCACCACGGTGCAGAGCTACCTGGAACGTAAAACTGCCCCTATCCTCACGGCCTTGGAGGTAGACATGGTCCCACTGAACAACAAAGACTGTCCCTGGGGAGAAGAGCAGAGATCTGGTTGAGCAGGGAAGTGGGACAGGGCCCTGCAGCCAGAGAGGACTGGCCATGGGTTGGATCCCCTAAGGATGATGGGAACTGTTTGCAAATTTGAGACAGCAGGAGCTGGGCAGCCAGACATCAGCCTAGCTTCCAAGCTATAGAGGAGCCAGATGGTTCTGCTTCCAGTCCCAGACCCGTACTCACTTGTCTCTTACCCCACAACGTGCCCCTTCCATCTTGCCTATCCTGACCCCGGGAGATAAAAAGGAGGAGTAGGAGAAACGTCTGTTCTCCAGCGTGGCGTAGTGAAAATGAGAAACAGTAAATGTTCCTAACATTGCTTTTTGCCTCTAGCAAGAGCCAAGAACTTTCATTTTGGTGTCTCCTTAGACTGCTGGGCAGCAGACAATGCTGTCCCCATCCTACAGGTGAGAACAAGTGAGAGGCTGCCTGCCTGTGTGGCTGTGTGCAAGTCCCTTGCCCTACCTGGGCATTAGATGCCTCTAAAGGAGCCAGATGCGGACCCCCAGCACCGAATGACTGACACTCTGAGATGCGGCCTCACCGTTGTCGAAGTAGGCGACCGTGGAGTTGTCCGAGTAGCCTGGATTGAAGTTGGCCATCAAGGGGGCTACGTACTGAGTAGCTGTGAGCATCCGATGGACCACGTCGCCCATGAAGATGAAGCCTAAGGAGCAGTCATCAAAGATGGCCTCCAAGATCTGCTGCTGGGGCTTTTCCCCGAGGGCAAGAGCTGGAAGTGAGCCTCACCTCCCTGTTCCCCATCCCTGACTGGTGGGCTCTGGTCCTAGTGTGTATGAAGCAAAAGCGCCCTGGACTAGAGGAGGTTCTTCCTGTGCCACCAGGGGGCACAGACTGCAGGGCGGAAGGGCAGGAGAGAATGACTCCCACCTCCCCCTGTCCCTAGGGACGTGGGACATGGAACCCAGGCTCTCAATGCCTTCCCGTCTTCCTCCCTCCCAGATTCAAAAACACAGGATGATCACACTTGGTGGCCCAGAGGGACACACACTCATGTGCACACACACACACACACACACACACACACACACAGGTCAGCTGATGTGATTCCCTGACTGAGAATGGGGCACCCAAGGACTCAAGTTTGAGTCCCTCCCCAGTCCATCTAACTCCTCCAGGAGACCTCCTGAGTTTAGGCTTAGCTCTCCAAACCCTCCCCAGCCCCGCTGACTCAGCCTTACCTCCCGTTGCTATGGTGATCTGCCGCAGAGGATGCCCGTAGAAAGGGAAATCAAAGGACAAGACCACTCTCTGCAGAGGATGGGAGAGAGTCAACATGGGCCTAACCACAGGCCAAGACCTGTTTGCCCACACTGCCCCATGCTTGTCTGGACAGAGTGGGGACAAGCATGTTCAGGGCAGGACCCGTAGGACAACAGGTGGGATGCCCTTATTCTGGCTGAGGTCACAAACCTCAAGCCACAGCCCAGCTGCCTGGGAGCACCGGCTGCACTGCTGGGGACAGAGCTACTCACCGAAGCCTGCCGGTGGGTATTGGAGAGAATTCTGTGCACCTTCACTTGGCTCTGGTTGGCCGAGGCCACATCCACCCAAAGCTCCCTGCTGCGGGGCTCACCAGGGCCATAGACACGGGACACATAATAGCTGTGATTGTCCTCCTGTGGGTGCAGAGACAGCCCAAGCATGAGGAGTCAGGCAGGCCAGGAGCCACCCTTGTCCTTCCCCACCCAGACTTTTGTATATAAGAACATCCCCCAATGCACACCTGGGTCCCAGTCCCAGACCCAGGATGCTATCCCTTGGGCCCAGAGGGCTGGTTCAGGCCTGGGATCCCCTAGTTGCCCCTTGGCCCTCACCACTCCCCAGCATGTCTGTCCCCAGCCAAATCCACAACCACTACCCCTGTGCTCAGTCCTGCCATGCCCATACAGGGCAGAAGGCTTATCTTGCAGCCCCTGAGTACTTCAGAGCACAATCAAGACCAAGTGCAGCTTAGGGTCCGAGGGAGAAACAGGCAGGACAGCCCCACACAGAGCCCTAGTCTTCTGGGAACTCCCAGATTGTGGGGGACACATAGTTCCTACTCTTGGGGAGAATTCTATTTAAGGAGAAAAGAAAACTGTATCACAGAAGGTACTAATTTAAAGGAGGCAGCTGCCCTTGATCTTGCTAATTTGATGGAGGAGGTCAACAGAATATCCGGCACCGACCCTCAAGCAGAGTGGGACAAAGCCCAAGGTGTAGTCACCAGAGGGCTGCTAAGGAGAGAGACACAGCAAGGAATCCTTCAAGGCATAACTTTGATCTTTCCTATGTCCCCAGTGGGGAATCAAACGGGCTGGGGTTCATTCTGCAGTGTTTCCTGCAGAGCAGCATTTGGGGCAAGGAGTTAAATGAGGCTAGGGAAATAGATGGCAGAAAGAGTGGAAGAGCCTGGGAGCAGGCGATATCATCACCCTTCCTGGAACCCACAAGGCCAGGCAGCAGAGCGCAGGGTGGCACAAATGCTCTGAGTGTTATGAGTCATTAATTAGGTTGCCCAGCGGCGGTGGCTGCAGACACAGCAGAGCAAACCATGTTCTCTCTGCCAGGCTGCAAGCTGCCCAGCAGTCCATTGCCTTGGACCCAGCAGGAGCAGGAACAGGGGCTTCTGTTCTCCTCACCTGCCTGGAAAGAGGCAGACTTTGTGCTTCTGACAAGTGACACACTCAAGGGACTGGCTGGGAAGAAATGAGTGAAGAAACATGGAATGGGGGGTATCCCATGGCCTCTGCCCTGTTCCCCACCTGCCTCCAGACCCCCACCCTCTGCATCTTCAGCACACAGGCAAACTGATCTAACACACTTGGGGCCTATCACTCTGGTCACAGCAATCGATCTCCCTCGAGACACTTCTCTGGAGACAAAAGGCACACCTGTGAGCCTATTGGGTGAGGTTCCGGCAGGAGTGAGTGCCCTTCTCTCTGCTTTCACTTCTCTCCTCCTGTCATTCCCCCAGGCACCCCTGGGTACCCACCCATCAGACAGACTCCCTGGACAGTTGCAGGCCTCCAGCGGTCACAGCCTGGTCCTCTGCCTGGGATGACCTTGGTTCCTCAATGCTTCTTGGTGACCTTAGGCCTCTACTTGCCAATGAGGACTTTCACCCCTTGCAAATGGCCCTCATCATCCAATATTTTGGGAAGTCCTTCAGGAGTGATATATGTATACTAAGTTCAAGAGTCACAAGGGCCCAAACTTGTTGATTTTATCCAAGAGGCCACCTAACACAGCCCCCTGATGCCACTGCCCTAGGGCGAGGGCAAGTGCTCTCGCCAAGAATGCTGCCCCCCATTGCTGCCACAGCCATCAACCCTGGGGTCCAGGAGGGTGCCCAGAGGCGGGTACACCGCCTTCTGCTCTGCCCACTCCCCGCCCCCTGCACCGAAACAGCCATGCTTACACCTTGCGCTTACAGCCCTCCTAAGGAACAAACAACTTCCACTTCCACTCTGCCCCACTCTGCCCAGGAGAGATGCCTGCCTTTCCTTCCTTGGACTCTGCCTCTCCTATCTGCACCCATGTCAACCAAAAACAAACAAACAAAAAACTATCATCACCTGCCAAGGTACTAAGTAAGCTCTGTGCATACCGATCTATGCAGAGAGGTGCAGAGAGGTGGGCCTGCTGGCCCGAACCTGCTTCCTGGGATTTGCAGGCAAGCAGCTTTTATCCCACCTCAGAGCAAAAAAAAAAAAAAAAAAAGAAAAAAAAATGGGGGGTGGAGGAGGGAGGATAGGGAACCCTGAATAACACTGTCCAGCTGATAGCCTGAGAACCCCAACTCTGAAACCCATTTAGGCTATGCTGGGACCACCTGCCATGGCTGCAGCTACAGCCCCCCTCACCTCCTGTTCAAACAAAACAGTCGTTTAAAAAGCATAGATTAGCCTACCACTGTGAAGAAAAGAAAGCTTAGATGTTATTTGACCTGTTGTTTTTCCTTTCCCCTCAGTACTCATGTTTGAACTCAGGGCCTCATGCTTGCTAGGCAGGCACCCTACTACTTGAGCCCCTCCACCAGTCCTTCCCCCACCCTGTTCAGAAGCCAACTCCTCATTCATCAGCCTCAATTCATCCAGGAGCTCCCCAAGTCCCTGTTACTCTCTCTGTCATCCTACCCTGAGCCTCTCCTTAATGCCTTGCACTCAGGTGACCATTTGGCTTTTATGTCTGTCATCTCCATGTTTGTCCCCAAGGGCAGGGCCTGCCTTACCCTAGGGAGCTTGGGGGAGGAGGACAAATTGCAGCCTGGGAGGAGGGACAGCTTGGAAGGTACTCTGATGGAGGGCTTGCTGAGTGAAGCATGCCCACTAATTCTCATTCCTTGATGGCCTGCTTATGCTTTGGTTGTGTTATTGCTACCATCACACATTCTCCCTGCAGGATGGGATCATGTTACCAAGCATCAGGACAGGAGGAGGTGGGAAATAGGTGCTCTAGGGGACTTCCGGGAGCCCACTGAACCCCACTTCCACCTGGACACCTGAGTGGGCCAGTGCTGAAGACAGCTGCTTTGAAGCTGGAAGAAGCAGTCACCAGCTGCTTCCCAAGACTCACACGGGGAACGCTTTCCCTGAACCTCCAGCCACATGACAGAAGCCACGCTCTGCAGCTGTGAAGCCCAAACAGATGCTGACACGTCCCTCACTGCCGCACTTACAACAGCTCAGGAAGGGGACACTGAGAATGAATCTCGCTGGCCCACTGCTCCCAGTCCTCTGCATCACATTGCCCTGGACCTCAGTTTTGAATTCTGGGCAGGGTGTCCTTGAGCTCATTCTTAGGGTCCCCAAGGAGCTCTGCAATGACACCTTAGTTGACACAAGTTTGTAGCTCAAGGATACCCAGACTCAAGGAGCTGTGCCTCTGTCTCAGTCCACTCCTGTTGCTAACGATGCAATACCTCAGGTTGCGTAAGTTTTAACAGGAGAGGTTTATTTCAGCTCATGGTCTGCTCCACGTTTGAGGAGAATGTCTGGCAATGACCTTCTTGCTGGCAGAGTCCAGAGGTGACACAGGGCATCACAAGGTTGACATAGGGAGCACATGCATCCCTGTGTGTGTCCATATCCTCTGGTCTCCCCCTCTTCTCATAAAGCCACCAGTATTGAATCAAGGGGCCTCCAAACCAATGATTGTACCTCATCCCAATCACCCCCCAAAACCTGGCATTGAGATTCAGTTTCTACCCTCTCTGAACCTCACAGTGGGGGTGAAATTTCAATGCATGAGCCCTTGGGGACACATCAACAGCCAAATCACAGTCACCTCCTGGGTTCAGAATCTTTCCAGGAGTCAGCAGATCCAAGGGACCATCTCTGCTTATGCCAGGTAGGCTGCAGACTCCACAGTGCCCAGGGCAGCGGCTGCCCCATGCAACACCAGGCAGAGCCCATCTCAGGTCCTAAACAGACCACCTCTCCTGACAGGGGAGACTTTGATTACCTGGGACAGTAAAGCCAGGAGTTGCACCTACTCAGAGCACTGGCCAAGGGACAATACATGGTGATGGGGGAGGGGCAAACTGCAGCCTACAATAGGAAAGGGGTCACTCCTGGATGCAGCCAAGGACAAAGTCAGGGTGGCTGGGAGAGTGGCAGGGAGGAGAAGGGGAGCTGGCACTTATAGACCTGTGGCTGCAGTGAGCTTGGGCGTTTCATAGGTAATCACTGTCTGCAATGCTGGAAGGCGAGCACTAATATTCCCATTGTCCAAGCGGGGCATCTGAGGCCATTCACCCAAAGACCTTTGCTCTGGTCACCGTCTTTCAGGTCTTTAAGTAACTGCTCCACTGGAAGGCAACTTGGACCACTTATCAGGGTTAAAATCTCTCACATCAGCCAGCACAATGATAAGCGCCGATAATCCCAGGTATTCAGGGAGCTGAAGTGGGAGTATCACAAGTTTAAGGCCAACCTGCCTGCCATATCAAGGCCCTGTCTCAAAAACAAACAACCGAGCACCAGTGGCTCATGCTTATAATCCTACCTACTAGGGAGGCTGAGATCAGGAGGATCAAGGTTCAAGGCCAGCCCAGGCAAATAGTCTGCAAGCATCCGTCTCCAATATAGAGCAAAATAGTCTAGAGGTCCGGCTCAAAATGGTAGAGCACCTGCTTTGCAAGTGCAAAACCCTGAGATCAACTCTCCCCAGTCCCACACAAAACAACAATGACAAAACAAACAAAACAAGAAAACCTGTCACATCGAGGACCATCGCGCGTCTCGTGGAGGATGGAGCACGGGAATCATGCTGAGTACATCACCTCACCCACCTGCCCTGGCATATGGTGGGCTTGGGATACGCTTGCTGAATGGGTTGAACGACAAAGATTCCAAAGCCAGCAGTGCCACGGGCCATGCTGAGAACATGCAGTGTGGCTCCAGTAAGGACAGCATTCTCCATCATCTCCAGTGGCAGGTGACACAGAAACCACTTGTGAAGGGACCAGCTGCTCCTCAGGGAATCCAAGTCCAAAGTCAGGGTGGGACTTCCTAGACACAGGGAGGCATCTCCAATTCCTGACCTCTTCTCTGAGGAAGTAAAGCTGGCATGAGACATGATTTTTTTTTTTTTTTGCTGTACTGGGGATTTGAACTCAGGGTCTACACTTTGA